ACGACGAAGGGGACGCCTAAAGACTCCAAAGTCATATTTATAGCTTACTTCCGAATTTCTCTTTTAGTTAGTTTGATCTTTTATATTTTGAGCACGTTTTTCTAGTTTCAGTGTAAGGGATGTTAATCAAATTTTGACTTCGCTTCCGCATTGACATTTTAATATACATTTCATTTAAAATTTCTGAAGCCATTACAATTTTCCTGGCCAATGCAACTAAATAACAAAGTTGATCATGATCAGCGATTCTCAAGTCTGTTGAATGGGTGAAGTTACGAACTATGGGAGCGTAAAATGGATAGAAAACTCATGATGACCATGGTTTTTCTCTCCTTTAGATAGGAAAACATGAAATGTACTGTCACAGAACAGCCAAACGAATAACGTCTATCAAACCCATGGATCATAGGCTACCTTCTTTTCATGGACTCATGTACATTTTCCACAACTACTTGGTAAAGTCTTCTAAGGGTTACAAATAAATCCAATTGCCACAATTATGTCAAATCAATGCCTGAAAAAAGTGACACTGATAAATTGCGTAATCAAAAGTTTTCCAGAATAGCATGAAGAATAACATGTTGTGACAACATAAATAAAAAAAAAAATAACAGTTTTTTTATATGTAAATATATTATTATAATAAAGTCACAGAATCAGAGTTCTTATTTATGAGTGCATGCTCATGAGCGTGGAAAGATGACCACAAAAATTCCTAAAGCAAATAGGAAGCTTATAGAAGCATGGGACGTGAAATTGCTAATGTATATATAGTTTTTTGTTTCTGCAATTTGAGGATTAGATAGGTTTTCCCCAAAAGCTACCAGTAAGCACCCTGCAAGCAAAACTAGCTCGTTTGGTCTTAAGAACAAGTCTGTTATACTGTATCAGGTAAGCGTTTCCATCTATATTTCTGGTAAATCTTCCCCGATTTGATCATGACTAACTATGTGCATACAGTAGTATAATAGCATAACACTTGCAGACACCTACAAATTTGAGTTGAGATGTGAGATTGCTTACTGAGCATGACATAGCGTGGGAAGTGAGGCAACCAAAACCATAGATATGGTCAATAATGCTTCAAGAAATGTTTAGAACAAGGCGACTCATTACAAGGTGTTAAAGGTTAGCCTGACCCTCCATGACTTCACAGAGATTTATGCTGCCTTATCATGTTCTTCAAATTGCTTATCCCCTGCCCATACACGACGGTAATGCAAATAGAGGATATTGCCGCTTCATCCGGATATTCAAGCAAGGCATAAAACAGAAGAAAACAAATGAGAGAATCCTTGGTGCTGAGAATCGGACTCTCCTGCTCTGTTGAATCACCCCCAGAGAAAAGAGACAACAACAATGGCGCAGCCAAGGAAATACATTCTGTCAAGAAAAACCACCCTAGATATTGAATTCAACAACCACGCAAGAAGATGGAAATTCTGATGCTTGCAACTATGGCAGCCAATTCTAAGCTCATGACAAGAACAACCATCAGTCCGTATCAGCCACCGAAGAGAACAACAATGGTGCTTAATTCTGCTATCTAGAGCGACGAACCTATGTCACACTATCCATTAACACCCTGTCAATGTAATTTCAGTTTTATTCTTCTGTGATGCTATGCCTTGATTAGTTTCAGATTTACCATCTATAAGAATAAGTCATCAGAATCTTAGAGGAAAAACAACAGACAAGAAGACTGGATTAGTAATAAAACGCACCGTTTTGTACAAAACCGAAATAAAATAAAATAAAATGCGAAGGATCTTTCTACAATCACCGCCTGTGATCGTAATCAACGACCTCGGATTCAGTCACCGACAGGGAGTGCTGCACGATTGACCGACCAATAGAGTTGATCCACTCCTCCTTCTCCTTCTCGGAGTCGGCGATGAAGTACATCGTATAATCGCCGGTGGACAATTCGAAGGCGCAGGGTTTGTTAAGAACATCCTCGGCGCCCTTGACGGTGAGGCAGGTTCCAACTGAGATGACGCCTCGCGGCGTGGACTCGCGGGTGACGTCATGGGAGTCCTTGAACCAGAACATTTTACCCTGTTTCAAGACGAACCAGCGGCGCCTCCACGTCTTGATGTAGTCGCCTTGCTTGGTCAGCCACCCGACTCGCTCCGGGTTGGCCCAGAACTCGATTCCCTGGTAGTCACTCGGGTCCGGGTCCTGACCCGTCATTGCCCGCCACAGGCTCTCCATCTTCTTCTTCTTCACCCTCCCTCTGTTTATTTGTCGGACCGAGTGCCGCGATTTAATTTTTATCACGCCGGTTTGGCAATCCACTGGATGAATCGACGTCGGTTTACGCCAAACGTCCAGACTTGTTTACTTACGACTACAGGTAAAGTTTTAGAGATGCTTATATACTTCTATAGTGCACCGCACTTCGAGGAATTCTAGTCGTTAGATCAAGTAAAAAGGATCTCAACCGTTAAAATCATTGCAAACAGTGTCACCGGTTAATTGCTAATCCGGTTAAACAAAAGCCAGCAGAATCCGATAGAAATTCGTGTTTTCTAACATGTAATAAAATCGACAATTCAAAAGAAGAAATTTTCTTTTTTTTTTTAGGAATTAAACCCAAACATTTGTTAATTTACAACATTTTCATCTTCGGGTCAACCCGAACTTGTAACCTTTGAATTATATTATTCACACTTTTATTAGACTAAATTACATTGTCTTGCTTACAAGAAAGTTCGTTATAAAATTACATGGTTGCTAACTTTGCAGTGTAGGTATTCCTTACAATAATTGACAGGTTACGTAGCATGCAAGTCTTTATGCTGGAACAGGATGGCTCTTGAGCTTCTTCGCAATTTCTGCAAAATATTCTCCCTGGTAAAAGGCCTGCTGGAGTTCTAGCTCCGTAGGTTGGCGTGATCCATCTGCTGCGTAAGTCCCTGAACCATAAGGAGACCCGCCTTTCACCTCATTCATCTCAAACATGCCTCGGCCAAACGTGTAGCCGAGAGGCACAAAAATCATTCCGTGATGTGCCAGCTGTGTCACGGCTGTTAAGCTGAATAACAAGAAGATATGAGTTGAAATTCAAACATCAAGATTTCTCGAAAAAGTACTAAGATATGTGTTTCATGAATTTAATAGCAAGTAGAGTAATCGATGCACTAAAATAAGATTTAAGTATCTACAAAGTTTAAACTGACATAAAATTATCAAATCTAATTCATACACTAAAATGTTCATTCATGCAAACCTACCAAGTATTTCATAGCCTATGTACCGGAATAAAATTTATAGTAGAGACTATGCACAGGATTGAAGGAACTCACGCAGTAAGCTCCTGGCCTCCGCCATGGAAGCCAGTACTCCAAAAGATTCCCGCAGGTTTACCAGCAAGGGCTTGGGACGCCCATAGCTCATGTGTGGCATCAAAGAATGCCTTGAATTGTGCTGCCATTACTCCAAACCGAGATGGAAACCCAAAGACGAACCCATCAGCCTCCGGGAGTTGCTCAGGCTTGATCTCTGACACATCATTTGCTTTAGGTGGAGCCTTCACTTTTTTCAATATCAAATCAGAAAGTGTCTCGGGTACCTGTTACCATTCCAAAAAAGAAATGACGATAGTATCAAGAGAAAGCTTCCCCTGCAAGTATCATAATCCTCCTCGACAGTTACTCTACTGAAACAACCTGCCAGAGAGTTGCTTCAACACCAGGAACTGTATTAGCTCCTCGCTGCACTGCCCGTGCCATAGTCTCCACATGCCCGTATAAGGAGTAATACCTGTAAATTTTTTGAGGCATAACATGAGGGTAAGAACGTAGCCAGAAAGAACTCAGAATTGTTGAACTAAACTATGTATTCAATGGAGGTATGTAGGAAATAAGGACTTACACTATGTAGATCTTGGTGGCAGCCATGTCTGCAGTTAAAGAAATGCTTTAAATCCGATATGACAATCTCTTATTCAGTAATGTTTGTTCAACTGCTCCTGAATTGAAGACCAGCTGAATGTATGTTAAGAATTTGCAAAATATCTATTTTCTCTAAGGTACAAGAACTCAAATCTTAATCATCTGGCTTGACCAAAGTCTTAATCATCTTTAGTTCAAGTAGGACAAGAAACAGAAAAATTTAGGTACAGAGGCGAGCATTATCAATGAGCCAAGATCAAAATCCTATCTGGAAACAAAGAACAAGAGGCTTCTCAGACTATCATTTTCATTTTTGAAGACCAAGAGGCTCCCTGTAATTTAATTTTCTGTCACTTTACATAAAACCATTAACTCTTTTCAAATACATCCAAATGTGTCTTGATTTCTAACTACGATCACGTAGAATCAAGACTAACTAAAAGAGCCTAAAAATCGACTCAGTTCCAGAAGTAGCAAACTGAAGTCTGAACCCCCTCAAACCATAAGCCAAAACTTAAGAAACAATCAGTCCATAAATCCAAAAAAGAAAAACTCCACTGGAGATAAATCAATGGAACTTCTTTCTTTGAGAGAAAAATCAATGAGAATTTTGTCAATGCATAAACAATCCACAATGATTAGTTTTATTTTACTCAGTACTAATAAAATGAGCTAAGCCTAATTTGACTTCTCCAAAAGCAACTATTCGTGGGCACCATGAGAAATCATTTAAAAGAGATTCATTTCTTTAGATGAAAGAAGAAGATTCATCAGGAAGAAAGAGGATAAATTACAAAATATGCCCGAAGGACAAAGGATCCTCCCTACAGAATCATAAAAACAAAAAGAATAGGAAAAAAATCATAACAAAGTGATACCACCTTATGAACTACAAATAATAGCATCCCAACTATGATGAAGTGCTGAAGTACTAGTCTTACGATAGCCCAAAGGATAGATATATTAGTTATGTTTGTATATAAAAAGATCGAGATCCGGTAATATAACAGTTTCAAAAAAATGGAGCAACTACTGTTAATTGATTCAATATTGCTAAACCTATAAAAACGATGGAAATTGATTACAGAAAAAGTCCCACCTAACCTAGCATAATATCAAGACGAAAGGCCAAATTATTGAAATTTCCTTTTAAGTATGGCTGAGTTAGTTCCCCCCTAAGATTTTATCAGACCACTTCAGCTTTTTGTCAATATTACCCTTTTTTTGTTGAAACTCACCAGTAATTTCAAAAGACCACTAATAATTTTCTAATAGAAATTAATAAATTTAAGGTGAATCACTTCAAATAGATTTTCCAACTCCACCTAATAATTTCTCAAGCCAGAGAGTTCGATCAATTCGCAAAGAAAATTAAACATTGATGACCCAGAAAGAAAAAAATTTGCTTATACCTGACAAACTACTTCATTAACAACTAAAGAAATTACCCCAGAAGCAGAGAATCCATCAATCATCGACTACTTGGATTAGAAAGTCAAAGCCAGAAGAGGGAAAAACAAAGCCGACCCAAGAGAACTTATCAGATAGAAAAACTACCCAAATCAACGAAGTGAAAAAAAACAAAAGAAAATTTCACCAGTGAAGATTCAAAAATTTACAGGCACTCAATAAATGTAAGTTTACAGCTTGATCAAACGTAAATCAGAAAGAAAAAGGAAAAAGAGCCAACCGAGATTATAATCTCTTTATGATGTTACCTGACGAAAGAAGGTAAGAAAGTGTTCGGTGCATGAGTGAGCGCAGAAGAAAGGTAAGCTTACCTTGAATGGTTGCCAAGAAAACACAAAGCGCTATTGGAGAAAGACAAAACTAATAATGAAGTGTATCGCCGATTTTGGTTTGGTGGCATATATATATAGATATATATATATATATAGATATATTATCTATTTCTATTTTATATAGAGTGAAACCAGAATTTCTGAAATATGTAATACAATAGTACACATTATTTATTTGTTTAAATTTTTAATATCAAAAAATAATTTAGTCTTTCATTAATTATAAATTACATACTAAATAATTTTAAATAATGTGATAATAATTTTATGTAATTTGTGCTTATATAAAATAATATTTTTATTTATATAAAAATTACTCAAAATTATATTTTTAGTTTTCTGATAAATATATATATATATATATTTGTCCTGGAAGCAAGAGAAAATGGTGTAAAGATAAAAGGTAAACTGTTGGATTCTGGTAACAGAGCAAATCACGTAGGTGGAATTTGTTTTTATTATTTCATTATTTATTTTTTTTATTTTAATAATATATTAAATTTAAACATTTAAAATTAATAATGTTTTTCATGTATACTTTTACATAATTAAAATTAAAAAAAGATGGAATATTCAAAATACCAAAATGACAATATTTTTCTTGAATAAAACATTTTTTACAAGACAAAATTTGTTTATTATATAATGAATAATGAAAAATATGCTAAATATATATTACTATTTTTCATAATTTCAACTGTAAAGATTGGAAACCAATCTTATGGCCTGATATTAAAATTCCATAGAAATGAATTAAACTTAGCAGTAAGTGAAAAATTTAAGGATGAGAAACAGCCAGCTGAAACTTGAAACCGGCAACCTTAAATTTTATGTAGTTACGAAAGTAACAATAAAAGAAAATAAAAAGTAAAGAACTGTAGATTAAGAAATGACAGATCCGTATTTCAATGTTTTAGTAACTAGCTTCTGCACTCCTCTATGATATTTTTCCAACTTTAAAAAATAATAATAATTTGATCCAAAAAGGTTCTGTTGTTGAGGAAACTGTTTACCATTTCATGAATCAACGTCCAGCTTCCCTAGAGACTGAGCCGATTAAACCCCGTGATCTGAGAAGTGCTCGATTTACCGACAAAGGAAGACTCCGCGAGATCAATAGCTCTTGCAAGGGCGGCAGCCTTGTTTTCACACTCCCTCTGCTCGTCACCAGGATCGCTGTCAGCCACAATCCCAGCTCCGGCCTGTATGTGAGCAACCCATTCTCGGCGCTTGCTCACATCCTTGTACGAGTACATTGTGTCATGGCGGAAATTAGTTGGGAAAACCATTGTCCTCAAAGTGAGAGCAATGTCCATGTCACCGGAAAATGAAATGCCTCCAAATCCACCACTGTATGGGCCGCGCCTTGTGACTTCCAGTTTATCAATTAACTCCATGGCTTTAACCTGTAATACATCAGAAGTTACTACGTGGATACAACAATTCAACCTTCAAGACAGTTTAAAGATTTAATTTTTTCTTGCAAAATTGAACAGAAATCAAAATGAGCACATTTCATCTGATAAAGCTAAACTGTCTGCAAATTGAGAACTATAATGAAATCTCAAGACACATAAATATAGAAACATCCATCAAGAAATGGAAGAGTGCCGGAGACAACCTTTGGTGCTCCGCTAACAGTTCCAACAGGTAGCGTCGCACGCAAAGCATCCCAGCTTGTTAAATGATCAAGTAACTCTCCCGTTACCTGCAAAGACAAACATAGATACATTCAACCTCATATACAAGTGCCTTGGAGAATGCTTTAAGTAAATACATATGTTCAACCTCATCTAGAAAGTGCTTTGCAGGATGCTTCAAGTAGAAAAGAATGATAACTAAAATACATGAGAAGAGAAGGAAGGAAAGAGATTTCACCCATATTATGCCTCAACCTGAGAGATTTTAAATTTTCATATCCAAAGGCAACATCCTTAGCTTCAAACTTTTTTTATTGTGTAAATAACCAGGTAAGCTGATGGGTTTTACAAATGTTTCATTGCTCAAGTGTTGTTAAAGAACATACCGTCGAGCTGATGTGCATGACATGAGAATAACGTTCAATATTCATTAGCTTCTCCACCTTCACTGAACCAGGTTTTGATACCTGCATGAACAGCCTGACATTAAGTGCAAAATATTGTCCTTAAGTACAAAGTTCTTAAAACAATTTCCAGAAAACTCATCAAACATGCCAGAAGACTTAGGTTCCATTACATTTGATTGTATCCATACAAAATACAACCCATCCAACGTGATGACTTCAAGCCATGCATTTGGATCCCATTTTCAAATAAGTAGTTTTTGTAAGTTTAGGCTATCAATTAAGGGAAAGTACAATATCAAGCAGTGGAAAAAATCTACAAATATTTACTTGCAAGAAGAATGAAATGTCATACAGAACCTAGGAACATAGTCCAGGACATAAAGCCCTTTTAAGTACCAACAAAGACAAATGAGAAAAGAGAACTACAAAAGCAAGTACAATCAGCAGAGGTTTTTGTATGGAATCCAAAACTCAATTAACTGAACATTTCGTTAACCTAAGACATCTAAGAGAAGAATTGGGAAAACAAAATGAAGAGCCAATAACCACAAAATAAACATGGATACAGAATGGGGGTAAACCTTTCCAACATCGTTCCTCCCCAAGTCAACTAACATAATGTGCTCTGCACATTGCTTTTCATCCTTCAAAAGTTCCTCCTCCAGCATTATGTCTTCCTTGGGTGTCTTTCCTCTTCTTACAGTGCCAGCAAGAGGACGATTTGTGATTTTGTTCTGTAAAGATAAATGCTAATGGCTTTAACAACTTTACAAATAGGAAGGCCAAATCCATCAAATTCATTTCATCTTGTCAGGGAGAAAGATAGAAAGTGAAAGGGCTATTACTTTCATCATTATATACATAAATAAAAGCAAACTAAAGACTAAAACAGACACCAAAGAAAAATTATCCAATTTATTCATCAAATTATGGTTATAGCTAGTAAGTTATTGGCTGCAAACCAAAAAAATAAATCAAACCAACCAAATTGGTCATGGCTGGTTTCGTTTGATTTTACAGGTAAAAAGAACTGGTTTAATCCAAATCCCGTTAAATAATTTTGAGTCTAGATCAATTAGAGATTAAAAAAAAATTATTATATGAAATATATAAATTAATAAATTTGAAGTATACATAATAAAAATTAGATATTCTACTATATTAGTTTTTGTACACTGCAGTTTTTATGTTTAGTATCAATATTCCTAATTAATATTAATATTTTGATGAAAAATAAATTAAAAATATATAAAACAAAATTTTAATAAAAAAGCTATTTATTTTTATTATTTTAATAAAATTCAAAAAATTAACCACAATCAGACCAAACTGAATATGAATTTTGGAGTGGTTGGTTTAATTTCTATACAAAATTTCAGTTCAGTTTAATTTTCGGAATTTAAAGACCAAAAATTTTTGGTTGGTTACCCTCCAAACCCAAATGGTCTTATCCCTGATATTTACCTTCTTCGCATGTAACAGAATCTCCGGGCTTGATGCAACCATTATGCAACCTCTGGCCTGATCAAGGAAAATAAGCAAATAAGATCTTAGGAATTTAACATTCATCAGATCATTAACAGTAAACCCTTAAAACATTCGGAGAGAAAAGCAAACATACTTGTAAATATGCCATGTATGGACTTGGATTAACAATTCTCAGAGCCCTATAGATTTCAAATGGGTCGGCAAATGTTCGCCGCTCAAAACGCTGACTTAAAACAATCTGAAAATATCACCAGCCAAGATATGTTCTTTGGCCTGCAATACTGCCTCCTTGTAAGCATCACTCTTCATACTTGAAACCTCTAACTTAGGACCAAATAGTTGAGTCTGCAACTTTATTGAACCAGCAGGCAGCTTTGGGCTGAAAATTGCAAAAACCATATATGCAAAAACCATATTTAAAAGGAAAAAAAGCGGTCGAGTGCCAATAAATCTAGAGTAAAGGAGGATCACTCACGGATTTATGTCATGAACTCTAGATACTAAAGTTTCCAACCGAGTCATTCCATCACTAAAAGCCTCTTCAATAGAAGAATATTGATCTAAACGCACCCAGTGGATCACATATGCTTTCTGAGGTCAAGATATTACAAGTCAAAAAGAAAAAACAAATTACAACATGGTAATCTCATTTACATTTTTGGACTAGTGAGGACTGTGGTATAGATGAGGTTTCTTTTGTGGAGGAGCTAACTTGCATAATTCTGCAGGCAAGCAGCATCCCCTTTGTGTCTTGTAAATATTTTTTTACTTAATTTTAAACACATGAAATATCTAAAATTCAACCAAAACCTACAATAAGAAACTAGCACGGGTCAGTTCAATATGAATCATCCCATTTACCAAATTGACAATAAAAACCTACTGCAAATTATGTCAAATAATAAAAATAATAACATACCATCAAACACCCTTACCACTAATCTATTATATAGAGCAAGATATATACAACTTGATAATAATAATAATAATAATAATAACCTACCATCAACCTATTACATAAAGCAAGATATATACAACTTGCTTGGGCATTATATTGATTAGCATATATCAAGAAAATAGGTACAAAGATATAAAATGATAATACTTTTCGATATGAAGGAATACCAGGCCAAGCATGCCACAAAGATAATAGATATGCTTAACCCAAAAATACAAGAATAACGCATGGCTCAGTGGTGAAATTAGAGAATACCTTCTCCACATGATCAAAGACAACCACATCATCATAAAGACCTAAATGAACATCAGGAAGATTTCTATCATCTAGCGGAGAACTAGAGAATGGCAGCTTTTTCTTCTCCACGTAACGCACTGTATCATATGAGAAATAACCAACCCATCCACCTGAATTTATTTAAGAAAAAAATAATAGCAGTTGTAAATATTAACCTATGTGCTTTTAGGATTCAATGGGAATCAAAAATACAATTAGCTGCCTCTCCAAAAGCTTCTTGTAGATAGTAAAACACAAACTTTGTCTCCAAGGAGAAGCCCATATAGCTTCCTTAATCAGATAGCTTACCATTTAAAATAAAGAACAGAGCTAAAAATAATTTAAGGACAAAGACCAACTTAAAAGAATCTGAAAAAATTTAGCCTAGCTTACTAATTTCCCTTACCACAGAATGCTTCTGGAAGTTCTTCAATCCGTTGGGGCTTCCATCCTTCCATTATTCTTTGAGGAACCATCATCGGATCCTCCACCAATTCTTCTGTCTTTTGACCTGCTTCATGGTCCATTACAGTAACCATATTCCCCTTTGCCACAATTTCTATTGTTGGCTGAGCTCCAACCACGCTATACCGCCCCTTAGAGAAATTATAAAAAATGAGAATCATTGATCTTTTGAAGATAATCAAATACATGAATAAGGATATTAAGACTATGGAGGCTTACAATACTAGAAACTTGCAAACCAGGCTCAACTGACTCAAACAAAAAGCTTGGAGCATCTCTGTCATCTTCCTTAACCAAACACCGGTATGCAAGAACTGGAGTTAGGTGATCAGAGAAAATTGATCGAAAAAGA